CGCCACCAGGGAAGCCCAGGCCAGGCTCTTTCTGTCTGTTCCCTGCTGCTGGTCAGTTGCATGGCTGAGTCACTTTCCTTCAAGGTTATTGTTACCTGGTCAACCTTGTGTTCCAGTTGAGGAAAAATGCAGATGACAAGGTCAGGCTTAGACAGGACCTGGGGCAGCTGCAAGGCCAGGGGGAGGTTTCATGGTGAACAGGCATTACAAGGAAAGCTGGGCATGGACGGGTTTTTTATTCATTGTTTAAGGATCAGTCAGTCTTTGTCCTTGCTAATGGCTTTGCCATTTTTCTGTGTGTTAATCCAGGAGGAATTTTGTTGTCAGAGACTAAAAGGAGGTTGTCGTAGTTGACTTTAAGCAACAAACAGTAAAACACTGAGCTCTTCAGCTCCACCTTTCTTGTAAGTTTATCATTTATTCCCAGTGGTCATGAAAATAATTGAGTCATGTGATAGCATCTTTCCATAAATTTGGGACCCTAAAACTCAATAGACTTTCTATTTGTCTATGTACATGTTTAATATAAAAGACTCCATCATGGTAAAAACTAATTTCCTTCAGCTTAAGTCACTTGCTATTAAAAAATTTTCAGGTGTATTTCATATCACATGACAGTTCTTAATATATTTTGTATCTTTCCAGGCTCTGAGAATTGGAAAACCAGGAAGGTTTTGATGTTTTGTGTGGCGCCACCTGAATCAGAAGCCAAGATGAACATAACCAAAGGGGGTCTGGTGTTGTTTTCGGCAAATTCTAATTCATCATGTATGGAGCTTTCAAAGAAAATCGCTGAGTGAGTATAATCATAGTGTTAAAACCTGTACTCCTTACGTGGTGTTCTACATTTGATAAGCGGGTCGGCACTGATGGTTAAATTTGAAAGCAGATCTTTTATAGTTAATCTGCTCATCATCTGGGTATTGAAGGCTCACCTTCTTGTAAACTGTTGTCACTCCTACACGTTCTTTCAGCAGACATTTACTGAGTGACTCCTGAGTGCCAGAGATTGTGTTAGGTGCTACATATGTATAGAATTATTTGAGTATAAAGAACAATGAAGGGTATATACTATATGAAGGTACTTTATAGATTACAGTTCAGTATAATTTTAGTTATTTATTAAATAAATATTGAACCCCTACTGTGTACCAGACCTTGATCTAGATACTGGGGAGTAACAGTGAAGAAGCCAGTCAGAACCCTCCCTTCTTTAGTAGAGGGGCCAGGCAAGAAGTGAGTCAGCCAAACAAACAAACAAGGTCACTTCCGATGGTGGTAAAGCGGGGAGAACGGAGAGGCAAGGGCAGGTTGTTCTGTCTTCGTGCTCACGTGCCTTTAAACCCTGGGGATGGAATGTGAATTGAGAAACCTGAATAGGTACAAGTGAAGGGCTGGGCAGAGCCCTCCAGGCAGAGGGAACAGCAGGAATGTGGCTGGAGGGCAGGGAGCCCAGGACCCTGGAGAACCAGGACAGTGTTGAGAGGCCTTCTTGGGTTGGCATAGGGTGGGGATGTGATGGGTTAGGTGACCGAACAATTCTACGTCCACTTTAAATCTCGTAATAGGAATACCTCTATTTTTAAAAATTTGTTTTATTTTTATCTATTTCTAAATCATCCTTAATAGTAAAGCTGTTGCATCTGTTCTATTACTTTTTCAGCGTTTTCCGTCTTTCTCTTCTCTAGGCGGCTGGGGGTGGAGATGGGCAAAGTGCAAGTTTACCAGGAGCCTGACAGAGGTGAGTGATCCTGTGCTTTCGTGACGGTGGCCTTTTTGTGGTACATGCCGTGCTGGCCCAGTCCCCCATCCTCCGTAGCTGAAACAGTCGGCCTCAGTGTCCAGTTAGTTCTGCCAGCAGGAAGACAGGCAGGCAAGGTGGGCGAGTGCGGTGTTCCCACTAATACCAGCTCGATAGGGAATTCTGGGGCAGTCACATCTGGGGGCTTAAAGTCTAGTCCTTAGACATCATCCGATAACAACTGCGTGGGTGCGTGAACAAGCTGTTCACCTGAAGGAAGCATTAGCACAGCGCTTGGTTGAATCCGTCCCCTTAGCCGGGGGGCGTATGCCTTGTGTAGCCACAGTATCAGGCGGTGGGTGTTCTTTTCCCCAACCTGCACTGCCTTGGGCTAGACTCCATGATGTCATGTCAGGAAGTGCTTTTTGCTAACTGATTTATGATGTTGTATAAACACCTCAAGTTGTGAAAATCACATGTTATTTAGCCTTTGTACTTTCTGTAGAAATGGCGGATGTTTGAAGTTATTCTAGCAGGAGCGACAGATGACCTGCATAGGTGTGAGAGTCAGAAAACTTCTCCTTGGCAAGTTATTTTAGCTGTCTAAACTGCAAATAATTCGGGCTGTTCTGAGGATTAAGTGGGATAATTTGTGTGCCTAACACAGTTTTTGGCACATAGTAGGCACTCAGTAAACACTGGTTCCCTCTCCTTTTCCACTGCAGGATTTTGTCTAATACTTAAATATTAGAGAATTTATAAGACACTTAGATGAAGAGGCACAAATTTGCTCTTCCCCTATTTATTTCTCCATTACTGCCTCCTCTTCCCTGTCTCCCAATACCCCCCATGTGGCTTCAGTGGGAAAAAAGTATAATTGAGGGAAATATACAGGGAGTTTGGAGAAGATTTTGCTGCTAAAGGAATTGGATGAAGTCCTTTGTCTAGTGTAGAAGGGGGGCTGAGGGAGGCTGGTGGCGGAAGACTCAGGAGGAGCCTGTCCACCCTCTGGGTTCATGAACGAGGGGAAGGAAGCAGGGAGCTAACGTCTCTAGAGTCCTTACCATTACCAGGTACTGAGGAACTGAGTTCAGGGGTGACGTTAGGATCAAGGCCCCAGCGGGAACAGAGTCGGGATTCAAAGCTCAATCTCCCTGTCTCTAAAGCTCATTTTGTTTCCATGGTACCACACTTTTTTGTAAACATGTACTCTATTTTTTCCAACGTTTCTAATGAAAATGTTCAAACCTATAAAAAATGTGAAAGAGTAGTGCCATGAATACCCATATGAATGAGTACCACCCAGATTCAGCAGGTGACACTTTGCTGTATGAATGTGTGTTTGTGGGACCATTTGGAACTGAGTTGCAGACATTGACACTTAACCCCTGAATACTTGACCATGTGTCTCCTAAGGAGGACTTTCTCCCATGTAGATACGCTACCATTGTCACATTAAAGAGATTAATGATAATTCTCTATCATCTAATAGCTAATGTACGTTCTAATTTTCCTAGTTGTCCTAGCTGGTTTTTGTTTTTATAAATTTATTTGTTTTTTTATTTTTGGCTGCGTGGGGTCTTTGTTGCGGTGCACAGGCTTCTCACTGCGGTGGCTTCTCTTCTCTTGTTGCGGAGCACAGGCTCTAGGCACATGGGCTCAGTAGTTGTGGCTTGCAGGCTGTAGAAGCACAGGCTCAGTAGTTGTGGCATGTGGGCTCAGTAGTTGTGGCTTGCAGGTTCTAGAGTGCAGGCTCAGTAGTTGTGGCGCACGGGCTTAGTTGCTCCACGGCATGTGGGATCTTCCTGGACCAGGGCTCGAACGCGTGTCCCCTGCATTGGCAGGCGGATTCTTAACCACTGAGCCACCAGGGAAGTCCCTTTTGTTTGTTTTTTAAACCAGGATTCTTGGTTCAAGTGAGGTGTTTTTTTTTTGGTTTTTTTTTTTTGTTGTTTGTTTGTTTTTGCTGAACGCGGGCCTCCCACTGCTGTGGCCTCTCCCGTTGCGGAGCACAGGCTCTGGACGCGCAGGCTCAGTGGCCATGGCTCACGGGCCCAGCTGCTTCGCGGCATGTGGGATCTTCCCGGACCGGGGCATGAACCTGTGTCCCTCGCATCGGCAGGCGGACTCCCAACCACTGCGCCACCAGGGAAGCCCAAGTGAGGTGTTTTTTATACCTCTTTATTCTCTTCTAGACTAGGGCAGTCCCTTCACCTTTTCTTTTTTTCCCCCACAGCACTGACTTTTTGAAGAGTTTGTCTTGTGGAATCTCCCACTCTGGATTTGTCTAATTGTTTCCTTGTGGCTGATCACAAGTTTTTTGAGAGTAGGGATACTGGGCCTTATTTATCTTTACTTTCACAATGTTATTCTAACGTTTGTGCCTAATAGGTTCTTAATTGTTGCTGGTTGAATGAATGAGTCTATCATTTCCTGTAAGGATACGGGGCTCAGAGCAGCCCCAGCACTCGCTGTTTATGTATAGGAAGTGAGGAGGGGATATTTTCTTGTTTTAAGTGACAAGTGTGATTCCTTCTTAAGCATGTCGTATAACTTAACATGTTTAAAAGGTGTGATTAATCGAACTGTGTTCGTTATCCTTCATAGAACTGAAAACCTAGTGAGTGTTGAAACAGTTCCAGTTTCCATACTTTACAGTATTGGGGAATGCTGCAGGGGTTTTTTTGTGTGTTTTTTAAAGTTATGTGCCTTGTTCACCCTTCTCTTTTCCCCTTCTCCTGCCAGAAACAAGAGTACAAATTCAAGAGTCTGTGAGGGGGAAAGATGTTTTCATCATCCAAACTGTTTCAAAGTGAGTAACTTATCCAACAGAAATGTTGCTTTCTGGTCTCTGTTTGGGCACGAATGTTTAGAATAATGAGAGTTGCCTAGACAGGGAGAAGTACGATTGTTTTAAAATTGCCATGATCTCACTCTGCTAATTTTTCTGACATAGCTGCTGACTTTTTTTGTGTTCTTTCAGTGTTCTCAAGGGTGGGAATAACCAAGTTTTGGGATGGAGGCGCTTAACGATAAGAGAGCCCATTACGTTTGCTCTCAGTAGCCGGAATTTCATAAAATTTGTAGGGAAGCTCTTCTAGTTCCAAAAAAGAAAACAGGCGAGAGGAGAGGAATTTGCTTACTTGGGGTTCTTAAAGCTTTTCCTGCAGATAAGTTAAATGTACTGTCCTGTTGCATAAATTAAAGGAGCTGAGAAGATAGACGGTGTGTTGAAGGCATGTGTGTTCCTGTCTCCTGTGACATTTGATAGCCGCGTGTTCTGGAAATTGTCAAGGTCACAAATGTGTACGCTGGGGATAGAAGATTCAGTGCAGCGAGGGTGTCTGCACCACTCTTTGATTAAATGCCACTCTGTCCACAGGTGTCCCTCAAGGCCTCTATAGATGAAATTTTTAACTCAGTACAATTTTTAATAATGTCTAGAAATCGGTTTGTGTAGTGCAACAGTTTTTAGCCTAGAGATTCCAAAAATTGCCGCAAGCAAAATTTGTGGTTACATGTAAAGCAAATACCAAAGAAAGTGAAGACGAGCCAAACTTTGGGAGAATTTAGACTTGGAACACATGACCTTTCACCTAAAGTTTGAACATCTCTGTCCTGGTCTTTGGTTCATGGGGATGAAATCTCGAAGCCACCTGACTCCTCTGGCAGGAGGAGCCGAAGGTGACCTGTCACTGCATCCCATCGTCCTGGAGCGCAAGTGTGCGGGCCTTTGCGGCGGGGCCTTTGCGGCGGGGCCCTGGCTTCATGTCTTCCTTCCGCTTAGGGCCCTCAGCAGGGCTGGGCTGTGGGGATGAGAGTTCGTGCTGCCCCTGCTGCCACTCTCTTTCCCGGGCCAGACGCCAGGCTGGTAGAGCGCTCTCCATGCCCACGCCCTCATCAGGGAGGGAAAAGTGCAGAGCGCAGAACAGCTGACTTCCTTCTGGCTCCTGGGTGTTTGCAGTACTTTATACCTTCCATTTCTTTCCATTCATTCATTCATTCCTTCCTTTACATTTATTTTTGGACATTTCGATACTCTTTTCATTCTGGCCCTGCCTCTCGTCAGTTTCTTATTCCTCTAGCCAAAACCATTCCCTTGGCTTCCCTGGTGGCGCAGTGGTTGAGAGTCCGCCTGCCGATGCAGGGTACACGGGTTCGTGCCCCGATCCGGGAAGATCCCACATGCCGTGGAGCGGCTGGGCCCATGAGCCATGGCCGCTGAGCCTGCACGTCCGGAGCCTGTGCTCCGCGACGGGAGAGGCCACAACAGTGAGAGGCCCGCGTACCGCAAAACAAAAAACCATTCCCTTAATTTTCTATACATGCCTCATTTTGGAGTGCTCCAGACTGTGCGATAGGCTTGTCTTGTCCAGGTTGCAGAAAGCTTAGATATTGTGTTCTTTAAGAAACAGTTAACACTGAGATTTGGTGTCGTCAGATACACCTTGTACCTTGTCTTAGTGTAGACTGGTGGTAGGCACTAAAAGTATAAGAAAAATTTTAAATTAAGAAAATTCTGTTCATTAACTTAACTTTTCCTGTAATTCAGACAAGTTATTATTTGAATTTAGTGATGGAAAGCCTTGTACCAGTTCACAGAAAAATGGTGTTCCTGGGAGTATAGTTTGGGACCTTGGTGTAACTTTACATCTGCTGTTGGTTCCCCTACTCTTACCCCCCACACAGAATGCTTTCTGAAAGGTGACTTTAACTCCTCCCATGTCAGGCTTGTTGTTTGGTATCAACAGAGAACCTACTCACCCAGACGTTCCATGTTTCCCTCACTCTCGCACGCAGTCGCTCATTCACAGACATTTACTGAATGTCTGTTATGTGCCAGCCACTGTTACAGGTGTGTGAGATGCGCGAAGGATTAAAATAGTTCACAGATCCTTTGTCCTCATGGAGCCTGTGTTCTAGGACATGCAGGTAACATAATGAATAAATAGACCAAACCACAACAGCCTGGCAAGGAGTCGGACGTGACGGTGGTAAAGGATGGAGAGAGGGCAGGCTGGGGGGGTGACATCTGACAAACACTGCAAGAAGGTACCAGCTGGCGACGAGGGCACTCCAGGCGGGGCAGGGTGCCCTGAGGCGAAGGCCCTCGGGTGGGCGTGAGGACTGGCATGAGGGGAGGGCACGGAGGAGGAGTGCAGGGCAGAGCTGCGGGCGCCAGACCCTGAAGGGGCCTCGGGAGCTGTTGCAGGGCCTTGGCGTCTGCGGGAAACCATCGCTGGCTCCTGAGCAGAGTGCATGATCTGACTTGGACTTTAAGCTCCAGCTGGATGCTGTGCAGAGGGTGGGCTGCAGAGGGACTGCGGGGGGGGGGGGGGGCTGTCACTGTGGGGGGTCGAGGCTCGGCGCCAGGGCAGCAGTGGAGTGGTGGGTTGCTGTCATTGTGGACAGGAGAGCAGTTAAGGATGCCTCTGGGGGTTTTGTCCTGAGTAAACTGCAGGAGCAGCGCTGCCGTCAGCTGAGATAGCAGAGGTTTATGACGAGGCAGGCTTTGCCGGTCAAAGAGCAGTTCAGTTTGGGGTACGTTTTGAGATGTCTTAGCAAGACTTTCTAGTGGAATTGTCAAGAAGCAGCTGAATTTGTTAGTCTGGACTTGAGAAGCCTGGGCTGGAGCTATAGATTTGAGTCTCCAGCATTTACAAAGCTCTGAAATTGGATGAGAAGCCCGAGCGAGGGATGAGGGAGGAGAGAGGAGAAGAGGACAAATGATCAGGTGTCGGGGCAGGAAGCTGGGGAGGAGAGGAAGCAGCAGAGGAAACGAAGCGGGGCGGGAGGGGAGCGGTGGGGAAGTGATGGAGTGTGTCAGGGCGAGGATGGAGAGAGGCGGAGTGAGAACCCAGCGTTGGCCTTGGCCACGTGGAGGTCATCTGTGACCTGGATCGGAGCGTGTGTGGGAGAGGATGAGAGAGATGAGTTGGAAGCAAGTGTGGACGACCGTCTTGAGATGTGCTGCCCAGGGGAGCCAAGAAATGGGGCAGTGGGGAAAGTGGCCTGAGCTGCTGTTAATGGGAGAAATGGCCCATCGGTATGAGCAGGGCAGAGTGACACACTGATGGGGTGGCCGGGGGGATTGCTGGAGCCCTGCTTCAGTGGGCAGGGGGGATGGGATCCCTGCGTCACGGGAGGGCTGATTTTAGAGTGACTTTGGTGTGGAAAGTTCGTCTCTGGCTAATGGCTCGGGGCAGGCAGACTTGGGGGCTGCACGCGCATGTGGCAGTGGGGGCCCTGGGCTCTTTTCTGACAGAGCCTTTCTCAGTGGAAAAGGAAGTAGGGTCATCGGCTGAGAGGCAGCATGGGGGCGACTGATGGAGGCCCTAGAAGAGAGGGATGTGGTTTCTTTTTTGTGTCTAGAGCCTGTCTCGGTCGAGGCGGGCGTGACACATGGCTAACGCTTAGTTGGAACCAAGAGAGGTTATCGTGTATGTAACGTTTCTCCTTGCTGGTTTCTGTCCTTGGGTTCCAGGGATGTGAACACCACCATCATGGAGCTCCTTATCATGGTGTACGCGTGTAAGACCTCCTGTGCCAAAAGCATCATCGGCGTGATCCCCTACTTTCCTTACAGCAAACAGTGCAAGATGAGAAAGAGAGGCTCCATTGTTTCTAAACTGCTAGCTTCCATGATGTGCAAAGCTGGTAAGAAAGGCAGACATTTGACGGTTTATTGGGGGTCTGGGAGTTTTATTTTTACCTGAGAAATTGTAAAGCATTGTCTTAACTAAATTAGAATGTTGAACAGAGTAGAAACAGTGGTACAGCTTTAAGATGGCTAGTTTGTAATTAGAGAGAGTTCTCTCCTGTTCCCAACTCCCTAAACACAAAGCTGATGAGAACAACTTATTTTTTCCTAAATTCTTTGTTTAAAAAATTAATATTGAAATGACAAGTTACAATCATATTTTAGGTTGTTTTTAACGGGGAAGAAGGCATTTGGAATCAACAACTCTAATAACACAGCAACTACTTTCATTTTCGTCTCTTCCCTTTCCCAGTACACACTGGCATACTTTGCAGACCATACAAATTATTTTGTGTTGTGCATTTTTAGGTAGCATCCTAAGTGTCTCCTCCTTGTTTCTAAATAATCTTCAGAGTTGTTACTCTGTGTGTGTGTGTGTGTGTGTGTGTGTGCGCGCGCGTCTGCGCCCGCGTGCACGGGTGTGCCTGTGTGTGTGTGTATGATTATAGAAGGCATATGTCACAGAGCGTTTGCACAGAGAGAAAAGAATGAAAGTCCCCATATCACTACATTTTAACACAGACACTTACTGCAGAATAAATTTTCTACTGTAGCATTTCAAAGAAGGCAAAACCAAAACAAAAAATGAATAAACCTGAACCCCAGCAACCTGAAGAGCACACCCAGTTGAGACTCTGCTGGAGGGAGCAGGCCTGCCCTTCCCGCCTAGGCTTGCTCCTGGGGTGCCACCAGGCCCGCTTTCCTGTTCATTTGGGCAAGTTGTGCTTTAAAAAAATTTTCCAGTTGAATTATATGTATGTTTATATATATATAAATTTCCATTTCAAATATCCTTTAAGGAGCCAATGGGATGAAGATTCTTCATTTTTTCGAATTACAGACAGGCCTGTGCAGTTTATTTTAATATATTAAGACAAATACTTGTCTTAATATGGCTTTGTCATGCCTATTGAAAAGACTTAGGGGAGATGAAATCCACTCTCATAGAATTATCAGACATTTCTTCATTGCTATGACCTTGGCTGTTTTAAGACTTTAAATTGATGTGAAAACCATGCATCTCTGTGTAAGAAAAGCCACCCAGTCTTTCCCTTCTGAGGGGGGAAACCCAGTTCCCCACCTCCTCTGAGTTTCCTTTACTCCTCGCAGGGAACACTTCACCTCTGTCACCAAACGTGTAGGCGTTTTCCCCACACCTTGCAATTCTCCAGGGTACCAGCTGGGTGTCGTACAGTTCCACTCTGACACTGTGTACCTGGAGATGGCGTCAGATCCCACGGGTTAAGGGCTCAGTCCCACGTGCCTGCTCCCCTGACCCCCCCAGACGCTCACTGCAAGTCCAGGTTGTCACCTGTGCTGACCAGTTGGCTATAAATCAGAGGTTCCCACGACCTCCTCTTGGGTTCGATTAATTTACTAGAACTCCTCACAGAACTCGGGATCACTGTTCTCTTACTGTTCACTGGTTTATTATAAAACGACATGATAAAGGATCCAGGTGGGCATCCGGGTGGAAGAGGTGCGTGGGGCAGGGTATGGGGAGGGGCTTATGCCCGTGTTCCCCCGCCTGGAAGCTCCCTGAAGCCCGTGCTGTTGGGACTTTATGGAGGTGTCCTCACAAGGGCGTGCTCGTTCATTAGCTCCATTTCCAGCCCGTCCCCCCTCTCGAGAGTGGGGGTGGGGAGCCTGAAAATCGTGGTGACCGGCCCCCATCCCGGAGCCCATCCTGGGTCGCCTCATTAGAACAAAAGATACTCTTGGTACTCTTATAACTAAGGAATTCATAAGGCTTTCAGGAGCTCTGTGTCAGAGGTGGGGTCAAAGACCAGATATTAGAATAAGAGATGCCCCTGGTGCTCTTAGCACTGAGGGAATGGCAAGGGTTTTAGGAGCTCTGTGCTGGGAACCGGGGGGCAGAGACCAATATTTATATTTTCTTTTATCTCATAATCTCATTGTACTAAAAAAAAATCTGAGAAATAAAGATGCTGAGTTTTTGATGAGAGCAATTTTTAATAGTAATTTATTATATATGGTATCTTGCTTTATGTAGTACTTATTCATACAGTGCAACTGGTTATGAAACTATTTGTGTGTTTGTGTCTGCTTTATTTTCAAAGGTCTGACTCATCTTATTACTATGGATTTACACCAGAAGGAAATTCAGGGCTTCTTCAATATTCCTGTTGATAATTTAAGAGCATCTCCCTTCTTATTACAGTATATTCAAGAAGAGGTGAGCTAGCTCAAACTTTTTAACATTCTGTTTAAGGTTGAAAGATGCATTTCCATTTCCTTGGGCTGTCCATGAAGGATTAAAACTTGATGTATTCTACTTAAAGTACTATTTACTTTATAAATGTAATTCAGTGTATTTTTTTTTTCAGTCTGAAATTCTTTTCCCATTTAGATTATTACAGAATACTGAGCAGAGTGCCCTGTGCAGTAGGTCCTTGTTGGTTATCTGTTTTAAATACAGTAGTGTGTATATGTCAATCCCAAGCTCCCAATTAAAGAATTTGAAAAAGAATAGATACCTGTATATGCATAACAGAATCACCCTGCCGTACACCTGAAACTAACACACCATTGCTTTTTTTTTTTTTAACATCTTTACTGTAGTATAATCGCTTTACAATGGTGTGCTAGTTTCTGCCTTACAACAAAGTGAATCAGCTATACATATACATACATCCCCATATCTCCTCCCTCTTGCGTCTCCCTTCCACCCTCCCTATCCCACCCCTCTAGGTGGTCACAAAGTACTGAATTCAGTGTATTTTTAAATTCTTAATCTGCAATTTATTTCTTTTGCTAAGCTGTTAAAATTGCTTTTTTTTCTTTTGGATCTCAGGTGCCTAGAGTCACCTAGTCGTGACTGTGACAAATATCTCACTGTCATCATTGGTCCATGGGTGGTCCTGGGACTCTTTTATGTGTCCCTCTTCCTGCCTTATCTTTGTCCATCCACCTGTAGTCGTCGGCATCTGTGATCCTGCCACCCAACAAGAAAACTAGCATCATCATAATAACTTACGTCCACACATGTGGTCCTTTTGTGTCCCATCCCCCTGCCTCCTTCTGCCCAAGGGAACCACTATCCTGAATCTTGTTTCATCTTTCTCTCAATTTCCTTGGTTAAATTTATTCCCAGGTATTTTACTTTTTGGCTCTGTTGTAAATGGAGTTGTTCCTTTTGGATTGTTCACTGCTGGTGAATAGAAATGAAACTGACTTTTGTGTGTTGATCCTGCACCTTTGCTGGACTCATTTATTAGCTCTAATAGTGTTTTGTGTTGTATGTGGATTCTCTAGGGTTTTCTACATGTAAGATCATATGGTCTGTGAATGGACACAGTTTGACCTCTTCCTTTCTAACTTGGGAACCTGTTTTTCTTGTCTGATAGCTGTGGCTAGAGCTTCCAGTACAGTGTTGAGTAGCAGTGTTGAATGTGGGCATCTGTGTCTTGTTCCTGCTCCTAGGTGGAACGCTTTCAGCCTTTCACTGTCAAGTCTGATGTGAACTGTAGGTTTTTCATTAATGCCTTTTATTATGTTGAGGAAGTGCCCTTGTATTCTATTCCTAGTTTTCTGTTTTTATCATGAAAGGGTGTTGGATTTATCAGATGCTTCTTCTGCGTCATTTGAGATGGTCACGTGGATTCTTTTCCTTCATTTTATTTATTTATCTATTTTTTGCGGTACGCGGGCCCCTCACTGCTGTGGCCTCTCCCGTTGCGGAGCACAGGCTCCGGATGCACAGGCTCAGCGGCCATGGCTCACGGGCCCAGCCGCTCTGCGGCATGTGGGATCTTCCCGGACTGGGGCACGAACCCATGTCCCCTGCGTCGGTAGGCAGACTCTCAACCACTGCGCCACCAGGGAAGCCCTCCTTCATTTTATTAATGTGATATATTACAGTGATTGATTCTTCTCATTTTGAATCACTCGTGTTTCTGGGGCAAATCAAACATATGTAGTTTTAATATAGTTACATTTGTTATTCTTGGATATAATAGCACTTTTGTGACTCATTATTTAAGAAGCCTTTTTAAATGTTAACTTATAATGCACTTAGCTATTTTGCTTTTTTAGGAACTCTTTTCCTCACGTGAATTATTTGTCTCTTTAATAATTTTTCCAGAGAACGCTTTTAACAGTATTTAAAAGAGAGCAGTTTGTAGATTTCTGAGCAGTTTCTTTCTGTCAAGAGTACAGGCCTTCCCCATCCTCCAGAAACTAACGTAGGCCCTCAGTAGTGAAAATGGGTTGAAGTATTTTTGAAAGGGAACACTAGAAAATATTCTACTTGTTTTTTTAAAGTTATGCACAAGAAACATACAAACTCTAATACATTCAAAAAACAATATGAATGTAATTTACTTGAATATGATTCTCAGTTGAGAGAGAAAGGGTGCGAGAGCACAGCTCCTGTCCTCACAGGAGGAAAAGGGCCCAGGCAGAGGGAGGAGCGTGAGGGCAAGGCTGGGCTTCACACAACATGGTCCCGGGAAGAGCCATCTCAGTGATGCCTCTAGTTTTGGAAGAAATAGAGCAGTCGGTGTACACTTTTTTTTTTTTTTAATTTATTTATGTTATCAATTTATTTTTTTGGCTGCGTTGGGTCTTCGTTGCCGTGCACAGGCTTTCTCTAGTTGCGGCGAGCGGTCTTCATTGTGGTGCGAGGGCTTCTCATTGAGGTGGCTTCCCTTGTTGCAGAATACGGGCTCTAGGTGTGTGGGCTTCAGTAGTTGCAGCACGTGGGCTTCAGTAGTTGCAGCACACAGGCTCAGTAGTTGTGGCTCGCCGGCTCTCAAGCACGGGCTCAGTAGTTGCGGCGCACGGGCTTAGTTGCTCCGCAGCATGTGGGATCTACCCGGACCAGGGTTCGAACCCGTGTCCCCTGCATTGGCAGGCGTATTCTTAACCACTGTGCCACCAGGGAAGCCCTCGGTGTGCACTTTTATAGGCTAATGTTCATCTTTTGGTCTGGGGGATGTTTCAAGACACCAGGAGTGCTGTGTGCTGACATCTAGAGACGTACATGGCAAGAGCGACTCTTGAGAGGCCCCTGTGGGCCTGGTGAGTCAAGGCCACAGCACCCTTGGCGCTGATCCAGAGGTCAGGGCAAGGTTATTGCCCTTCATGTAGGCGTCTGCCTTGGTGCAAGGCTGCCTGCCACTTGAAGAATCCCGTCTTAGGTTTCATTGTTGAAAAGAAGTCGGACCTGAACCCTCTTAAACTGCTCATGGTTCAGCAGATATGGGAAGTGGGGCCCTTGTTTCTGATGGTGAGCTAACAGTGGTAACCTCAAGTGTTTTAGTTTTAAATTCTCTGTTCTTCATTCATAGAGGTAAATTAAAACAGCCTATAGAAAATGAAACACTATATGGGAGCTCACTGTTTACTTTTTTATAGTATATATACTTGCTTTATGCCTTTTGTTTTCATGCATTAGAGTTTCTCAGGCAGGTGGTAGATTCACCATATTTTACTGAATCTAAGTTGCCGTCAGTTAAGGTTTATGTTATTCATGTCATCAAGAAAGAAGGCAGCGCTGCCAGTCCTGCTGTGAGGCATTGCCTTCGTGTCACCTGGTGGCTCTATTCTGCAAGCTTTGACACTGATGTCATCCTATTTGACAGCTCACCCTCTGTTTTTTTTGGGTTGTCAAGGGAATTTGAGCACCTTCTGCCAAAAGTGGGCGTTCAGCTAATGGGTGCTCATTGCCTGGAAACTGTTCTCCAGCCTTGGCCGTGTTGCTGTGCATGCGTTAAGCATCCTTTTCAGATTTAGTCCTTCCACAGCTTCACCTCCTGGCAGGGAGTCTTCCTTTCGTAGGTCCCAGAAAGCATTTGATTGTTGCCTTGCAAGAAAATATGGAATTGTGGTCATTCCTCCAGTGATGACCCTTTGATTCATGAATATGAAATTTACATCGTGCTGCCCTCTTCCTGTGTCTTTCTGCGTGCATGGTAACTCGTCATTTTAATGCTGAATCATAGTGAGCTCTTTCTGGCGACATTTTATTTTATTTTATTTTATTTATTTATTTTTTCTGGCGACATTTTTTTGTTTGTTTGTTTTTTTGTTTTTGCTGTACGCGGGCCTCTCACTGCTGTGGCCTCTCCCGTTGCGGAGCACAGACTCTGGACGCGCAGGCTCAGCGGCCATGGCTCACAGGCCCAGCCGCTCCGCGGCATGTGGGGTCTTCCCAGACCGGGGCATGAACCCGTGTCCCCTGCATCGGCAGGCGGGCTCTCAACCACTGCGCCACCAGGGAAGCCCTCTGGCGACATTTTAAATGGCAGTTAAGCCTGGCCTGGAGAGAACCAACAGTGCCAGGACATAGGAACACCGTGGCCACCTTCATGCGCACGAAGGAGTGAAAGCACACAGTGCAGCTGCTGTTGGGCTGACAGCGGCTGTAAGGCAGCACTGAGTGTAAGGCATCCAAGTTGTAGACATAATAAAATATAACCCAAAAGAGGTTTGGGTATTGATTGAGTGTAGTGCTTGTGTTTAAAAAAATGACCAAGTGTTATAGTGATAGTACTAGTAATCATTGGTCTGCACCAGGGTTTTTCAAGGAAATTATGAAGAGGGGAGGCTACCAAGTGTACTTTTGTGGTGTATCGAGAGATTCCATCCCATCAATTTTTAAAATAGGAACTTATAAAGTGATCCTGTTTCTGATTCTTGAGTTGCTTTATTTCCCCCCTGTGTTCTTCTTAGTGTCTTTATACCAGTTCACTCTCACTGTCAGAGAAATGAGATCTGGCAAGAAATGGAAAACCAGGGACACAGGCAGGGGTGTAGCAAAGGAGTGTGGGTGTCAGGCAATTTGATTCTCTGTGGTCCCACAGTGGCCCTGGTGATGTTTTCCCTTAATGGTGCCGGGGAAATTACTACAGGGTTTGGAAGTCAGACTTGCATGACATGTGGTGTGTTTTCCCCTCCACTTGATAAGATTAATAAGAATAATCTTCGAAAATGTGAAAAATGAAAACTTATGTTTACAGTGGCAGTTAGGGAAATTCTGACAGAAGTGATGAATCAAGCAGCTTCCCTGGACCACCAGCCTGGGCCCAGGCCCTCTGCAGGGCTCACCCTGGTTACCAGCCTGCGTAGTGTCCTGAATCCTCTCAGACCTTTGCCTCTGATTTACCTCCCATTTCTGTACACCTAGTTACAGAAATTGATTTGTGGGGGCTTTTTGAAAAAAAAAATACAAAAAAACACATTGATATATTGTTTGTGTTGTTCTGTAACTTTGTTTCCTTTCCTGTGCTCGTGTCTGGAGGTCTTTCCATGTTCAGCTATATAGGATTACTTCTTTCTTCATGACTGCTACATAGTACATCACCATCATTCTATGATGGTGTAAATGTTCTGTCTGCTGCCAGAATGCAGCCACATGTACCTGTTGAGTCCTTGAAATGTGCCTGCTGTGACTGGAGAATGGAATCCTTCATTTTATTTAAGTTTAATTAATTTAAATTTAAATAGCTACCTGTTTAGATGTTTAAAGCACAAGTTGAAATGAGCCGCAGTTTTTTCAACCATTTCCCTCTTGCTTGGATATTAGGTTGTTTTAATTTTTCACTCTTTTAAGTGAAATATTTTATTTTCAAAATATATTTAAGTCATGTTGCATTGAAAATTCTTGTACCTGCCCTTTTGAGTACTTACGCAAGTGTTTTTCTGAGCTATATTAAGAAGTGGAATTGCTTAACTGAAAAGTATCTACATTTTTCATATTTTAATAGATATTACAAAAATTGCAATTGTCTGAAGGGGCTGTATTCATTTACACTTGGACAGAATTCCCCATGTAAAACAGTGTTTTATCTTTTTGCTGTGGTTTTGAAATTTCAGCACAGTGTGTCCAGGTGGATCTTTTTTCCATTCACCTCACTAGATGCTCAGTGGGTCCCTTTCATTCTCTATGAATTTTGTTTGCTATAGTTTGAGTATTTCATCCCTTCTATTTGTTCATTCCTTTCTTTGGGAACTGTTGGAAGTTGAAAATCTTGGATCTAGTCTGTATATTGTTTAACTTTTTTTTTTTTTTTTTCAAGTTTTGCATTCTTACATGCTGCCTGGTGGGAAAATTCCATGGCTTAATCTCACCCACGGTTTTTTTTTTCAGCTGTGTCCCTCCTGCCCTTGAGCCAGCTGAGTTTCTTATTTGCACCATAATAACTTCCACCGTCTAGATTTCTTTTTGGTTCATTTTCATAACAACTTGTTCTTTCTTTATGTGTATGATTTCCTGTTTTGACTCCTGAGGAGAAAATAGACCTGTTTTTATTAAAGAGTCCTTTCTTTTAAAGTTTCTTTTTCTTTGCTCTATTAACTGTTTCTTCATTTGTTATTTTTTCTCTTGGCTGGGTTTGGTGCTGTTTGGTGATGTTTGATGAGGCAAAGAAGTGCATAAAGCAGTTTAGAAAGACTTCCAGCAAAAATAAGGAAAACGCCTAAATGAAAATACTTTTTGCTACCTTACTCCCTGATAATGTTGGATAAGTTAGGCTTTTTGTGTGTATAGATGGATCAGATGTAGAGATTTCTTATCCATATGGATATATCTATAATAGAGCCTTGTTCAAACTAATCAGTTTTTTTGTTTACTAAATATTGATTATTTTAGTGCTTCCCATGTACTAGGTATTGTACAAGGTGCTAGATGTTATTAAGTGCTTATATTAAAATTCATTGATCTAGCGTAATTGTGAGAAATCAGTGGGGATATATTTGAATGAAATAATATAATTTAATGAAATGATTAGATTTTAAGAACATAATTTGAAAATATTGCCAAGATGAAATCAGAAACAACAAACTACTGCTCAGCTTAAAAGTAGTTCTGGGCTTCCCTGGTTGCGCAGTGTTTGGGAGTCCGCCTGCCGATGCAGTGGACACGGGTTCAAGCCCTGGGCCAGGAGGATCCCACATGCCGCGGAGCAGCTAAGCCCGCGCGCCACAACTACTGAAGCCTACGCGCCTAGAGCCCGTGCTCCGCCACAAGAGAAGCCACCGCAATGAGAAGCCCGTGCACCGCGATGAAGACCCAATACAGCCAAAAATTTAAAAAATAAATAAATTAAAAAAAAAAAAAAAAGTAGTTCTGTCAGGCTTCCCTGGTGGTGCAGTGGTTGAGAGTCCGCCTGCCGATGCAGGGGACATGGGTTCTTGCCCCGGTCCGGGAGGATGCCACATGCCGCGGAGCGGCTGGGCCCGTGAGCCATGGCTGCTGAGCCTGCGTGTCCGGAGCCTGTGCTCCGCAACGGGAGAGGCCACAGCAGTGAGAGGCCTGCGTACCACAAAAAAAAAAAAGTAGTTCTGTCTTCTAAACTCTCAGAAGTTGGTAACGGGTGTATCTTCAACTGTAATTATCCTAGTACAGATCACTTCAGATGTTTAAAGTAAAGAACTCCAAAGTAGACTGACATTTTGCTTATTTTCTTAAGGGCTCTTAATATCTTTATGAAGCAGTGTTAGGCGGGCTGATTCCTTTAACAAATTGGTTTCTTCATTATGCTGTGACAGAGACACATTAAGTAGTTATTTGTTTGGACCGCACTTATTTGGAATTCAACAGGTGCCTTGAATTCAGATTCGATGAATGTCGTCCTTGCCCTGTGAAATTACATGTAACTGGGATTCATGAGAGTACTTCCTGTTGACTTCATAAAAACACCTTTGCTGCCACATAGATATGAGCTAATTACTGATTAACCCTACTTTTTTCTTAAAATAAGTCTATGAGAGTCATGCCTTGATAATAATTTTTTTTATTCCTAGGTAGGCGTTTCTTCATCTTCTAAAGAGGAAATTTACTTTGAACTTTTTGTGTTTTTGGAAAACTTTGAAGTGACCAGATGACATTTTTGAGTCTGTTGGAATGTTCATTTTTATCAGTTACCGGGTACTGGTGTGAATAGCCTTGTGGAGACATGGCAGTAATCCCCAACCTCTCCTCTGTCACAGATCCCGGATTACAGAAATGCAGTGATCGTGGCCAAGTCTCCAGCCTCGGCTAAGAGGTAGGTGGGAGCTCCTCTGAGCCACACCTGGGGTCCCAGCCCCGTCGGATCCCAGGTGCTCTGGATTCGATCTTAGCGGTTCCCACTGTGTCTCTTATTTTTTATCCTGTGAACTGATAGTTTAATACTCCACGTGCTAAGTGATGATGATTTATTTTCCTCCCTTCTTTCCAGTCCCAGTCTGTGACTACCATCACATTTCTTACCAGAAGCTGTCCAGGGCTGGGGAATCCCAGCCCAGTGCTTAGGCAGATCTGCCATTTCAAATACCAGTGAATGTATTTTGAGGTTGTTTACTGCCTTTTATTCAGAGAACTCAGTAATTTATTAACAGAATTGTATCCAGCCAAGAGGCTGGATTGGTATGTGTTAAAAGGTGACATTTTACAAAATTTACAAACACTACAAGGTGTGCAAATGGGGCAGTGCTTAGAGTTACATGTAACCTGGAGTAACTGATGACTCAGGGATACAGAACCTAAAGTTGTGTCTGAACTGAAAGGGTTTCACACACAGACAGGCCTTGGAGATAGTGTGTTGGGTTCCACACCTCTGCCAAAGCCAATATCACAGTAAAGTGAGTCACATGGATCTTTGGCTTCCCACCACATATAAAAGTTATGTTTACACTATACTGTAGTCTGTTAAGTGTGCAATAGCATTAGGTATTAAAAAACATTGTACATACCTTAATTTAAAAATACTTTATTGCTAAAAAATGCTAACCATCACCTGAGCCTTCAGTGAGTTGTAATCTTTTTGCATCAAAGATCAGTGATCACAGATCACTATAAAAAATATAATAATAATGAAAAAGTTTGAAATACCTTGAGAATTACCGAAACGTGACACAGAGACGTGAAGTGAGCAGATGCTGTTGGAAAAAACGGCGCCGATAGACTTGCTGGACGGAGGGCTGCCCCAGACCTTCAACTTGTAACAAGTGCAGTGTCTGCGAAGTGCAGTAAATCGAGGTCTGCCTGTACTAATGTTCCCTGGAGAAGCCGCTCCACTGGGGAGGGAAAGAACAAAATCAAACGTAGGAATGAAGGCTTTTTCTTAAAAATGCTCTTTTAAAATAACTTCCCACAATCGAATACCTTTGCTCCCTGGATCATTGTTGGGCCCATGGAGTGAGAGAGCGGAGGTGCCTCCATCCTGTACCCACCGTTGTTAATGTGGAAGGATGAGGGCAGCTTGCACGTCGTAAGCTCTTGACTTCACAGGTGTTAGGATAAGTGGTTTTCCATTACAGAGTAAGAATAGCAGTTAGTATATTAAATAAAGTTGGCATTTGTGATGAAGCCATGGAGTTGCCATGTTCGTGGGACCAGCCTCCCAGTCAGCCAGGGCTGTGCCCACACAGGCTTCCTTCAAGAAGCTCTGTCATGGAGCCTCATAGTGTCCGTTTGATTAAGTCAGGTACACCGGGACTCATGCTGGAACATAAACATTTCAAACAGCCTTTCCAGAGATTTGTGCAAAGGCTGGATTAATGCTGATTTATTAATTTCCTTTTCTCTGATACACGTGCTTTTTAAAATTAAGTTGAAAATCACATAACATACATTTAACTTCTTTAAAGTGTGTAATTCACTGGCATGTAGTGCGTTCACAGTGTTGTACAGCCACCACTTCTCTCTGGTTTCAGAACTTGCTCTCATCCCAGAAGACCACCCTGAACTCACTGAGTGACCAGTCTCAGGTCCCTTCTCCCCCGTTCCCTTGCAGCTGCTGATCTGCTTACTGTCTGTAGATTTACCTATTCTAGATATTTCATATAAATGGAATCATACAATATGTGGCCTTTTGTGTCTGGTTTCTTTCACTGAGCATGATGTTTTCAGGTTCATCTACATTGTAGCATATATCAGTAATTCATTCCTTTTTATGGCTGAATACTATTCCATTGTAGGGATGTACTACACTTTGTTTATCCGTTCATCTGTTGATGGGCATTTGGGTTGTTCCCACCTTTTGGCTGTGAGGAATAGCAGTGCTGTGTACAAGTGTCTGTGTTGGCATGTTTTCATTTCTCGTGGATATATATCTAGGATTGAAATTGCTGGGTCATATAGTAATTGTATGTTTCCATTTTTGAGGGACAACTAAACTTAACATACCCCAAACTGAACTGCTCTTTGCCCCCAAAAGCCTGTGGGGTTTGGCTGGAGTAGCGCAGTTTTTGTCTTAAAGTTTCCTGGCTTGTGAGGCTGCCCCTTCCTTGGTCTGGCTTTTGTTTGGGCACAGCTGTGAGCCTGGGGTAATGAAGCAGAAAGACAGATGGGAGGACCCGCCACTGCGTGTTCCCTCTCACAGGTGAGGAGACACATCAGGGAGGTGAGGAAACAGATCCAAGGTGATTCTGCTGTGTTGTTTACAGGAAGATAGCAGCACAACTAATGACTTCTTTTTTTTTTAATTTATTTTTTATTTTTATTTTTGGCTGCGTTGGGTCTTTGTTGCTGTGCGCGGACTTTCTCTGGTTGCGGCGAGCGGGGGCTACTCTTTGTTACGGTGCGCGGGCTTCTCATTGCAGTGGCTTCTCTTGTGGCGGAGCGCGGTCTCTAGGCGCGAGGGCTCAGTAGTTGTGGCTCGCGGGCTCTAGAGCGCAGGCTCAGTAGCTGTGGTGTACAGGCTTAGTTGCTCTGCGGAATGTGGGATCTTCCCAGACCAGGGCTTGAACCCGTGTCCCCTGCATTGGCAGGCAGATTCTTAACCACTGTGCCACCAGGGAAGTGCCAGCTAATGACTTCTTAGAGTGTCTTCGCCACCAGTGATTCTGGGATTTGGGCGTGGGCCGAATAGGCTTGAGGTTGGCTTGCCCATTCAGTCCGTCTCACTCGGTACGTGTGTGCTGTGCCAGCCGTTTTCTAAGGGGGGAGCAGTACAGCCCGCTTCTCCCCTCGGGCTCGCAGCTCACCCCGTGTGCTGTTTGGCCAGTAGGTTGTTAGGTAGGTTGGGATGAAGGATCGAGCCTCTTTTTCCCGCCTTCTGTAATGGAGTCCACAGTAGGTTACACTGCATTCAATAAATGTTTTAGGACGGAGATGGTTGCTCCAAAGGGGATGAGGGTATAAAATAATGTAGTTACGGCTTTTGCACTCCGCATCGAAGGTGTGCTGAGCGCTCTTGGTCGGTAGCACCTGCCGTGGCATCTCCCACAGCGCTGTGCTGTGATTTCCTCTCATTTTGACGTCCTGATTTGCATACTCATCCAGAGTTAGGGCTTGAGATGGCATTTCCAGCTCAGCAACACGCCGGTTTTGATCTGATTGTTTCCGGCTTCCTCCTCCAAGTCTTTTATTTGGCGCCTCACCTTAGAAAACTGTTCCAGTTCGTTTAAGAGACACCCTAAGGCAGCAGGAAGGTAGTTAAACTAGGAGTCAAGAGACGCCGGCTTCCAGCTGGTGCCTACCCAGTCTTTGTGAGAGAGCTGAGAACCACGGTCCAGGCTCTCTGCAGGCCTCCATTTCCTCGTCGGCAGAGTGGGGGGGTGACGCCTGCACTGCTTATCTTACAGAGCGGCGTGCGCCGAAGAAGGTGGGAGAAACTTCACAGATTGAGCAGCACGGTGCGCCCTGCAGTTCTGCAGCTGTCGGTGGAGTTGAGGGCAGAGCTGTGGTTGAGCAGCCCTTTGGCAGTGAGCTGTTGTCTTGAGTAAAAGAGGTCATCTGAGAACATAACGTTGCTTTAACAAACAGAACTTGCTTTAGTGAGCAAGTTGTTTGGAATTGTTTTCCTAGAATAATTGAGTGAATAGAAAAAAAAAAGTCTGAGATCCTGTGTTTTGTTCTGACCCATGATGTACATTTGCCCTCATCATAGTACAACCAGAAGCGAGACTGAGTTGCTTTGGAATTCCTCTGTGACCGTCAGTGTCTAAAGCAGTATGACCTACCGGAACAATCCTGATTCCTTTTTTGGAATCAGGTGGGAACCCAAGTTACGTTACTGTTCTGTGAAGTATCAGAAACTAACGTCATTGTGCAGGTAATGCTTTTATTTATCTTGAAAGTATTGTGGTTTATAGTTAGTAGCGTTATAGTAGGTTAGTAGTGTTGAAACAGCATTATTCTAGGAATTGGCAAACCTCTACGAGTTCCTGATGGGAAAAGACTTCCTTAGAGGATAACTGAGAGCTCAGGACTTCTGACAGTAATCTTGTTTGTGAAGCCAATCTTGGATTTGAAGGAGCACTTAATCTCTGTGGTGCTGTGAGGTTAGCGTGGGGCAGAAGCCAGTGAAGGCTCTGCCGTGGTCTTTGTCTGAACATATCTTTTTCTGAGGACTTCTTTAAAAACTGTTTTGAATTTTTTTAAAGGGTGAATTTAAAGTTATGCAAATACTACATCTTAACTCTTAGGATCTTTAGCAATTTTTATTAAAAATATTCCCCCCCTGAGGCTCTCCCTCTTTTCCTTAAGTAAAAATATTCACACACACACACAAAGATACACTTTTCTGGATCAGGTTATGCAGTACAGCTCTGCTCCTGTGAAGTCTGTTGTCTTTTCCTTGGAAATATAAGTTAGATTCATTGTAGGAAGGGCCAGACCAGTAGACGTTTCTTTATGTGCATTTGAGATTTTCTCAAAACCACAGAAGACTTAACTGCGTGTGCTGCGTAATGACATCTCCTACTGAGGAGGAAAGTGTAACTTCGTAAGAAAGTAATTTGCAATGGATGTAGCATCCGTTTAAATTTCTTGAACCGATTGCAAGCACTGTGACAAAACTCTCCTTGGTCGTGGAGTGCAGACGGGAAACCTGGCACAGGGGAGATTCTGTTCCGCCAGGGAGCACGGTCATGCCTTTAAGTGCCTCCCTGTGGCATTGCAATGCCTTGGCTGTGTCTAGTGCAGGTAGTCCTGATGATGGGGTTCTGTTAAATCCCTAATTTATGACCACAGCCCTTGTTTTTGTTTCTTTTTAGCTGTTCTTGTGGGCTGTAAGGAACTTGTTTTGAATTTTTGATGTTTGAAAACCAAGGTTGGGAGAACTTGTTGGATCTTCAAGCACTTGAACATTTTTTTGTGCACTAGGTGCTGAAGATGGAAAAATGAGTAAGACCTCAATGGTGAATTCTACCAAACATTTAAGGGGGAAATAATGCTAACTGTACATAAACTCTTCCAGAAAGTTGAAGAACTAGTACTTCCCAGCTCACTTTATGAGGCATTCATTACCCTGATAGCAAAGCCAGACACAGACATTACAAGAAAAGGAAAACAGATCAATATTCCTCATGAACCTAGGTATAAAAATTCTAGGGCTTCCCTGGTGGCGCAGTGGTTGAGAGTCCGCCTGCCGATGCAGGGGACACGGGTTCGTGCCCCAATCCGGGAAGATCCCACATGCCGCGGAATGGCTGGGCCCGTGAGCCATGGCTGCTGAGCCTGCGCGTCCGGAGCCTGGGCTCCGCAACGGGAGAGGCCACAACAGTGAGAGGCCCGCGTACAGCAAAAAAAAAAACAAAACCCAAATAGCATCAAACTAAGTGAAACACTTAGGGATAAACCTAAGGTGTTCAAGACTTGCACACTGAAAAATATAAAACATTGCCTAGAGAAATTAAAGACCTAAATGAATGGAGAAATATACTGTGTCTGTGGCTTGAAAGACTCAATATTGTTAAGATAGCGTATCTTCTCCCTACATTGGTCTGTAGAATTGACACCATCCCGATCAAAATGTCAGCAGGCCTTTTTTTTTTATAGAATTTGACAAGCTGATTGCAAAACTCATATGGACATGCAACGAAACTAGAATAATGCCCCCCCCGAAAAAAAAAAAAAACTTTGAAAAAGGAGAACAAAGTTTGGAAATCTAACACTACCTGAATTCAAGACCTGTTATAAAGCTAAAGCAATCGTGATTGTGTGGTATTGGAATAAAGATAAAAAATAGGTCAGTGGAACAGAATAGAGTCCAAAAATAGACCCACAGGTATCTGGAAGACTGATTTTCAGCAGATGTGCAAAGGCAACTTAATGGGGAAAGGCTAGTCTTTTTAACAAATGAAAAGTGTTGGAATAATCAGATGTTTGTGTGCAAAATAATGAATTTTGAGCCATATCTCACATCATTTTAAAAAATCAACTTCAAATGAGTCATATACCTAAATGTAAAGCCTGAAAGTATAAAACTTCTAGAGGAAAACAGAGGGAAAAAAGTCTTTGTGACCTTGGTTTAGGTAAAGATTTCTTAAATATGACACTAAAAGCCCAACTGATAGGAAAAAATTGTTAAATTGGATGTCATGAAAATTGAAACTGCTCTTCAGAAGACGTCATTAAGAGAATAACAGGGGAAAGCTCAGACTGGGGGAGAACATTTGTGAAGCATATGTCTGATGAAGGACTTAAATTCAGAATATATAAAGAATTCTCCAGACTTACTAAGAGAACTAACAACCCAACTAAAAAATTGGCAAAAGAGAAACAGACCCTTTACCAAAGCATATATATAGGTGGCAGATAAGCGCCATTTGTCATGAGGGTTCAATGCAAACTGAAACCACAGCGACCCACTGCATACCGCTGGGATGGGTACATTGAAAGGGCTGACAGCGGCCCGTGCTGGCGAGGGCGTGGAAAAGCCGAGTGCTCACACACGGCTTGTGGGCATGTGGCAGCCACTTTGGGAAACGGTAATGTGTGATCCAGTCACACCAAGGGAAAAGGAAACATGAGTCCAGACGGATTTGTACATGAGTGTTCACACGGTTTTGTAACAACTCATGACTGGACACAACTCAAAAGTCTATCCAGGAATTTCCCTGGTGACGCAGTGGTTAAGAATACGCCCGCCAATGCAAGGGACACGGATTCGAGCCCCGGTCAGGGAACTAAGATCCCACATGCCGTGGGGCAACTAAGCCCATGTGCTACAACTGCTGAGCTCAATGAGAGAGCCCACGTGCCGCAAACTACAGAGCTCACGCCCTCTGGAGCCCGTGCACCACAACTAGAGAAAGAAAACCCACACGCCGCTACTAGAGAGAAGCCCGTGCCCTGCAAAGAAAGATCCTACGTGCCTCAGTGAAGATCCCGCATTCTGCAACTAAGACCCGATGCAGCCAAAAAATAAATGAAATAAATAAGTAAACAATAAATCTTTAAAAAAAAAAAAGTCCATCCACGAGTAAATGGACAAATAGTGATAGACCCACACCATGGACTGTTACTCAGCGATGTAAGGGATGCTCTCTTGATGAATGTGGGTGAATCTCCAAACTGTTAGGCCGAGTGAACAAAGTAAGACCAAATTAAGGACTACAGACTCCGATTCTACTTACGACATTCTAGAAAACGTAAAACCATGGTGATAGAAAGCAGCTCACTGGCAGCTGATGCTGGAAGGAGAAATCGCAGAGGGGCACAGGTGACGTTTGGCAGGGGTAGGTACTTTCAGTGACTTGGTTGTGCTGACCGTTGTACAGATATAGAAATACACCTGAGCTTATGAAATCATATGGTTTAGGTGTGTACAGTGTCTCGTATCTCAGTTGCACAACAAAACCTTGATGCTTCATACTCTCATGAGAAGTTAGTGCACTTTGTATCACGTGGTTGGTGCTCACTGTTAACTAGGTAGATAGGCAGAATTAATTAACAATTCCAAGTGAGGAAACGGAGGCTTAGGGGAGGTGAACTAACTTATAACTTACACGGGCTCACTCGCTGGCCAAGTGCACACTAGGCCCAGCTGCCAGGGGGATGTGTGGTCATGTGGGGTCTCCACACTTTGTCTTGGATTCTGAGAGTCTAAGATTATTAATTCTCCTTTTTCATTAACCCTTTTGGAAACTACCTTTTTAAAGCTCCCGTGATGTTTCTCCGTAGATGTTATCAGAAACCAGCTTTGCGTGATTGTGAACGGGTCTCCTGCTCTCCTCCAGGGCACAGTCTTTTGCTGAGCGCCTGCGACTGGGCATCGCGGTGATTCACGGAGAAGCGCAGGATGCCGAGTCCGACCTGGTGGACGGGCGGCATTCCCCGCCCATGGTCAGGAGCGCCGCCGCCATCCACCCCAGCCTGGAGATCCCCAGTAAGTGTGCTGCCCCCCGGTTGCTTTCCTCTTTGATTTTAAGGCTGACTTAATTTTTTTTTCGAATGTGAAGTGCTACTTCTCTTTTTGTTTTTTAAATTGGCAAAAACTGATACCTTTCGTGGCCTGGCTGTGGCAAGTGCACTTCTGGTGGCCTCTTAGAAGCAGTCTGTCTGGTCATACCAAGACCTATGCACATGCTCAGTTTAGACGCATCTGTGGCACGTCAGGGATTTCACTTGTTCATTCACTAACATGTCCTAGAGTAAAGTAAAGTTTAACACAAGCAGAAAGCTTTTGGTGCACAAGTTATTCACTGTAGTGTTATTTCTAATGCAAAATATTGGAAAAGTCTGAATGGTTCACCGGAGGGCGGGGCTTGGTGAAGAATGTCGTATCAGCACAGTTCATTATGCAGCCCTTTGAAATAATTAAGACTCTGGAAACAAGAGAAAAATCTATGGAATGTATGTGAATAAGGGAGAATACAAGAGTGTAGGCCTGTCTTTTGCCCGGGCGAGGAGGGAATATGAAGGATGAACGTGGTTGTGACTAGGTGGTAGAGTTATGCATGAATTTGTTTTTGTTTTTAAGAAACTTCCCTCAAGCTTTAATAACATCTTCTCAGTTAAAAAAAAATACTGCTTTTGTCTGAGTCTGCCGGGGAGAAAAGACTTTTCCTCTACCCTCTGTAGCTTCAGTGCTCAGGAGGTTGCAAATAAAACTGACAGAAGACAGATCAAGAAGAGAAAAGATAAGATTTTAAGAGGAGGTTGCAATTCGGGGCTTGTATATGGTCCTCATAGGGGAAGGGAAGCGGAGGAAGGGCGCTGATGGGAGGGCCAGTGGCTCGTAGGGAGGATGGATGGGAGACAGGACGGTGTGTGACAGTGTCTGTGTAGGAGTGGTGCCGACTTCTGGTCTGGGTGATGAGAGTCAGTCTTCCTGCGGTTGTTGCTGGGAGGGGGTTTAGGACAACTGAATTCTTTTGAGTTCCTTTGGGGAGCTCTGCTTTTAGGCAGATAAGGGACTTCAGGAATTCAAATGCCTTCAGCTTAAAATACTTTTCATGCCGCTGTGGTGTACTCTGGACCCCTTCGGGTTCTCACGTTGCCTAGGAGTTTGCTCGTTTATAAACAAAAAGCCTCAGAGAAGGAGATACGGTCCTGGGATGGCCATGAAGGAGCGAGACTGCAGCTGGGCCTTGTGGATCCCGGTTAGCTGAGGTGGACGTTGAAGGCATTCAGGCATGGGTTCAACTGGGGACAGGATGGCAGGGGCAGGGGCTGGGCTTTGTGTGTGGCCGTGGGTGGCCAGGAAGGACGCCACCCTGACCACCGAACTCCCTGGAGGGAAGACATGGGGAAAAGGTGGCAGCAGAACGCTCCCGAGGGCAGTGAGTCCCTCGCGTTGTTTTTGCTCTTTGGGGTCCTTTGCACTTTAGGGTCAGTTTATTTCTGCAAAAAAAGAGGCTGGGATTCTGACGGGGTGCATTGAGTCTCTAGATCACTCGGGGAGCATTGCCGTCTTAACGGTACTAAGTCTTCCTGTCCGATCTGGATGCCTCTTATTTCTTTTTCTTGCCTGACTGCCCTGGCTAGCACGTGCGGTGCTCTGTTGAATAGCAGTGGTGAAAGTGGGCATCCTTGTCCTGTCCCTGATCTTAGGGGAAAGGTCTTTCATCCCATATGACGTTAGCAGTGATTTTTCCGTAGTTGCCCTTTATTGGGTGGGGGAAACTCCCTTCTGTTGCTGGTCTCTTGGGCCTCTGTCACGAGACAGTGACTTGCTAAGGCCTCGGCTGGGCTCTTAACCGAGAAACGTGTGCGTGTTTTGTCCTGGGCAGTGCTCATCCCCAAGGAGAAGCCCCCGATCACAGTGGTCGGTGACGTGGGAGGAAGGACCGCCGTCATTGTGGTACGCAGGCCTCTCTTCCTGTCACTCTGTCGCGCTTGCCGCTGGTGCTTTGCTGGCTGGCTTGCCAGTCGTGCTGGGGACGGTGCCAGGTAGGTCTCACGGGCGCCTTGTGCTGAATGTCTGCTTTGGTCCAAAAACTGAGACTCGCCAGGTGACCCACAGCTTCTGTCTGGCTTGCCTACAAATCCGAGACTCCCAGGACCCCCCTGGACTGGAGCATTTGCTAGAGCAGCTCACAGAACTCAGAGAGACACTTAGGTTCACTAGGTCATTAAAGGATGTGACATAGGACACAGATGAGCAGCCAGATGGAGAGAGAGAGGCACGGGGCAGGGCTGGGGAGGGTCCCTGTGGAGTTGGGGTGCATCACCCACTCGGTGTGGAATGTTCACCCACCTGGTTCGCTCCCCGAATCCCGTGCTACTGGGATGTTATGGGGGCTTCTTCCTGGAGGCCTGATGGATCATTAACCCCATTTCCAGCCCCCTCCCCTCTGTGGAGGAGTTGGGGCCGGCCGTGCGGGTGCTGCAAATTCCAAGCTTCCCTGGTCTTTCTGGTGGCCAGTGCCCATCCAGGAGCCCACCCAGAGTCATCTCATCAGGACAAGAGGTTTCCCTAGTGCTCTTACCGCTAAAACATGTAAAAGGGCTTTAGAAGAGACGAATGTATATATTTTCTATTATCTCATACTGGGAGTCTGCGAGATTAGAAACCACTGGACTGAGTATTTTGTTAAAATAATAATTATTATTTTTCCCATTATAAAAATATATGGAAAAAACACATTTCCCATCCACCCAGTGCAGAAAGTTTAGAAAATAAGGAAAAGTAGCAAGAAAAGAGGAAAGAACCACCTAGAGTCAAAAGCATCTTCTAACAGGTGCTTTACTATGCATTAAAAAAATCTAGGGTGAGTATTTCTGGAGCACCTGCCTGGTGGGGTGTAGCTCTAGACGGTAGGGATAGAGAACTATAGGCCCAGGGCGCCTGTGCTGCACTGTGGGAGGCCCGGAGGGAATGCAGCGGGAGCCCGGTGACCTCGCTGTCAGGACACGTCAACGTGGACAGCAGGTGTGTCACAGTAGAATTAGTCCAGCCTTTTTCCCCGTGGTCTAGACCCACCTTTACAAAAGTGTTCATGTCTTTTGCTGAATCTGTAATGCCAGGACGACATTATTGATGATGTGGACAGCTTCCTCGCTGCAGCAGAGACCCTGAAGGAAAGGGGTGCGTATAAGATCTTCGTGATGGCGACTCACGGCTTGTTATCCTCCGACGCCCCTCGACTGATCGAGGAATCTGCCATCGATGAGGTAACAGAGTCGGGCTGAGTGTGGGCACAGCTGCCTGGTGCCCGTGCCCATCCCGACCTGTGGTCACGGGAGCAGGTGGAGAGTGAGCTGCTCTGTAGTTCAGAGCGGTAGTTCTGTTTGCGTGTCACTGCCTGCAGCCTCTGTGTTCTGCCCGTGGCAGTGGGTGATAGTTTTAGTGACTCTCGTAAGTGGATCCCTTGGCCCTGACGGAACTGCCTAATGCTGGGCACATGCTGTCCCTGAGCTCCGGCACAGCCCTGCAGGGAGAGTGAGAAATTGTGCACCAGAAAAGTTCAGTGACTTCTTAAGGTCAGGCAGCTACGAGCCCAAGCTCGTAGGGTTCAGACCCTAGTTTACCCGATGCTAAAGCCCAGCTCTTTTCCTGGTACAGACGCCTGTGGCATGACGTCGGGAGAGGAGGGCACACAGGGCCACCTTCCTAAACTGCCTGCAGCTCCCAGAGTGGCTGAAGTGAGGCCAGCCAGGTTTCCTCGCCCTCCTTTGTCCACCCCTCATTCCAGGGGCCAGCTAGCTGCGGGGGTTGATTGTGTGAATCACGTTCTTATTATCTTTTAAGAAGCAGAAATGCTGTCTCCTGTATATTCCTGGGTATTGAATCTTAAACTAGTCAGACTCCTTTAACTTTTCTGAGGCCCACACTTTTCCTCTTGAGCAGTCACTCTCCCTGAGCCTGGCCCATGCTCATCATCTCTGATGGGTTCAGGATGCTTTAGCACAGAGAGAAAGCCAGGCTCACACGGCTTAGCTCGATCCGGCCTCCTTTCTCCGCTGCACGAAACACACGCAAAGCGGGAAGACTTCAGGCCCACGGCGGTGCTCACTGGTCTGTCCGCGTGGCGCTAGGCGGGGTTCTCGCGGGTGCTGTGTGTGGGCAGGTTAGCGAGAGCGTGTGGGGGGCTGCTGCATCCAGTCCCTCGGAACAGAGTGGACTTTGGAGAGGATGCATGAAGCCCCGGACGTGGAGGTCGCACATCCTAGGCCAGCAGGGGGGCTCTGTCACTGATACCCATACTGGGGAGTTGGGTCAGTAACTGATGGATAAGTGGGGTTCCATATAGGCCTGTAGACAAAGCACAGTTGCCCAGTAGATAATAAAGCTATGAACCATGTGAAAGTAACAGCAGGATCGACAGGGTGGGAGGTGGGAGAAGAGGAGAGAGGCTGATTTCCCTGTCTCTCAGAAGAGGAGCCAGTAAGGAGGGCTTGGAGTTGATAAATCAAGATTTGAAGTGTTTTTCTTTCTGTTTTTTTAATTAAAGGTAGTTAAATGAAACATCCAGAATAGGCCTCTGTAAAGTCAGTAGATTGGTGGTTGCCAGGGGGGTTTGAGGAAGGGTGAAATGAGGAGTGGCCGAAGGGGGTACAGCGTTTCTTTGGGGGGAGATACTAATCACAGCTCTGAGTATCCTGAACGTCATTGAATTGTATGCTTTAAATGGGCAGATTGTATCGTATGTGAATTATATCACCAAAAAGCTGTTATTTTTTAAAGTGGTTAGAATACATTTGGAAAATTCATTCCCGACTGAGGGTGGTTATCTCGTGAGAAAACTGACCCTCCAAGGTGACCAGGTGGTACAGTCCCTCCTGGGGGCACCGTCCCCGAGGAATTGTGCTCAGAGCAGGTGCAGCCCTGCCTGGGGTCGCCCTTCACACTGATGCCGTGTGGATGGGGCAGAAAATTCTGTGTTTGATACCAGTGGGTAGGTGTTTTTCCTTTGGGACCTGTTCTTTTACAGGTCATGAGACTTACATGACCCTTCATGTTCCCACGTTTGCCTTAGTTACCAGGAAGATCAAACAGAAAAGGAGTCATGGGTTTCCCTGGTGGCACAGTGGTTGAGAGTCCGCCTGCCGATGCAGGGGACGTGGGTTTGTGCCCCGGTCCGGGAGGATCCCACGTGCCACGGAGTGGCTGGGCCCGTGAGCCATGGCCGCTGAGCCTGCGCATCGGGAGCCTGTGCTCTGCAACGGGAGAGGCCACAACAGTGAGAGGCCCGCGTACTGCAAAAAAAAAAAAAAAAAAAGGAAAGGAGTCACACAGTAGTTACGATGGGCTAGGTTTTCATGGCCCTGCTGCTGGTTCTGAATGATTCCTGATCATCCTCTGTTTCGACAATCTCATGGTGTGCGTACGTTTTCTATTATAAGCTGTCTTGAGGCTTATTTTGGAAGTAGGGAGTATGTATTATAAATAATAACTTTAAAAATATTCCCATCTGTTTTTTTAAGAAGGCTGAGTATTTTTTTTCCATTTGTAGCTGTTGAAAAATGCATGTTTCCCCTTTTTTGATTTTCATCAAATCTTTTTAAAATAACAGCTTTATTGACATACAGTAGTCCCCCCTTATCCACAGGGGATACCTTCCAAGACCCCCCAGTGGATGCCTGAAACCGTGCACGGATAGTACTAAACCCTATGTATAGTCTGTTTTTTCCTGTACATACATATCTATGATAAAGTTTAACTTATTAATTAAGCACAGTAAGAAATTAACAGTAATAACTAATAATAAAATAGAACAATTATGGCAGTATACCTTCTTGTGCAAATTTAATGCCTTTTTCATCTTAACTAAGCACTTTCACATACTGTGTCTGCAACTTTTACAATTTGATATGTGACAGCAAAACTAGCATGAATTTCTGTTTCCTTCTTCACAAGTTTACGAATGGGCGATTCATTCTTACCATAGATCTTAGCAATCTCAGCACCCAGTTTTCCTTCCTTAAGTCGAGAACTTTTGCCTTTTCGCTTAAAGGAAGCACTTCACAGCTTCTCTTTAGTATATCTGAATTGCCAGCCTCACTACTTTTGTAAAATTAAGTAAAATAAGGATCACTTGGACATAAGCAGTGTGGTCTGATACCCGAGATGGCTGCCGAGTGACTGACGGGCGGGATCTGCTGGACAAAGGGACGATTCACATCTCAGACGGAGTGAGACGGCCCAAGAGTTCATCACACTACTAAGAACAGCGCACAATTTTAAACGTATAAATTATTTATTTCTGCAATTTTCCATTTAGTGTTTTCAGAGTGAGGTTGACCGTGGGTAACTGAAACTGTGGAAAGTGAAACCTCGGGTGGGGGCTGTGGGGGCTGTCTGTAATTCACGTGCCGTATGATTCACCCATTTAAAGTGTATACTGCAGTAGTTTTCAGTATATTCACAGAATCGTGCAGCCGCTACGACAATCACTTAGAACATTTTCATCCCCCCACAAAGAATCTCCAGACCCGTAATCAGTCACTCCCCATTTCTTCTCAATCCACTCAGCTTTAGGCAACCACTAATCTGCTTTCTATCTCTGCAGTAGGTTCATCTAATCTGGCCATGTTATATAAATGGAATCATATAATATCTGGCCTCTGATCTCTGGCTTCTTTCACTTAGCATAATGTTTTTTGAAAGTTCATCCGTGTTGTAGCAGGTGTCAGTACTTCATCCTTTTTATTGCCATGTAGTATTTCACTGCATGCCTGTAATTTTTTTGCTCTCTGTTCATAATTTGGGTTGTTTCCTCTGACTGTCGTGAATAATGCTGTCATGAGCACTCATGTACATGTTTTCAAATGGAGATGTTTTCGTTTCTCTTGGGTGTCTACCTAGGAGGAGAATTGCTGGGTCACACGGTAAACTCTATGTTTAACCTTTTGAGGAACCTCCAGACTGTTTTCCAATGCAGCCGAACCAGTTTGCATTCCCACCAGCAGTGAATGAGGGTTCCAGTTTCTCCATGTCCTTGCCAGCTCTTGCTGTTATCTGTCTTTTTGCCTGTAGCTGTCATAGTGGGTGTAAGGTTTTCAAACCTTAACCTAAGGTACAGGTAGCATTCACACTGACTGAAAACATTGCTGAAGGCACACTAGACCCACTTCAGAGATGTGAGAATGTATCCGATTTTCAGGTCGAGCCAGGAGGCTACTTGGTTTTATGATCTCTTGTTTTGCTCTTGATTTGCAGGTGGTGGTTACCAATACAATTCCACATGAAATCCAGAAGCTCCAGTGCCCCAAAATTAAAACTGTGGATATAAGCATGATCCTTTCAGAAGCCATCCGTCGGATTCACAATGGGGAGTCCATGTCCTACCTTTTCAGAAACATAGGTTTAGATGACTGAACAGCTTTCCTTTCTTAAAACTCTCGAGGGCCAAACTGGAATAGTAAGAATAAGCACTGTGAGGCGTGTGCCTGACTGATGATTTCACAGGGACCGTCTGTGTCTTGTTCCTTCCTTTTGTTAATTCCTATGAAGATAGACCAACTTTTTAATTCCATTTGGGTGTTTGTGAGTTTATGGGGGCAATTTTTATAAAAGAAAAACTATATCCTCCTCTTAAATAAAATAAGTTAAGACCTGGTTGTGTTCAGTTTACCTGTTGAAAAAATAACTTGGAAAAAAGATTTTAAGCTCACAAACAACCTTTTCCCAAAGTTGCTGGAGCCCAGGTGCTTTAAAAAGTTAATAAAATAAGATGATACACTGTACGATAATGCAGGCGAAAAAAAGTTAATAAAATAAGATGATACACTGTACGATAATGCAGGTGAAAAAAGTTAATAAAATAAGATGATACACTGTACGATAATGCAGGCGAAAGGCCAAAAAGACTATGCTGTTAAGTCCAGTAAACTACATTTTTAGAAATGCTGTTATAGACACGCATATGGAATATGTGACCGTTATTTATTTCCTGCAACAAAAGAAGGAATAAAAACTGTATCTGTGTGTGTGTGTGTGTGTGTTTTTTTAACTTTGTGTTTTGGCAATTGTTTTATAGCTAAAATAAAATGAGAGCTGAATATACATGCTGTGGATGTTGGAACGTTCCTCAGCTTGTTGAGATTTCTGCAGCTTTGGGGTGATACAGTAGTCTCTTCGGGATGTAATGTTACCTGTTCTGTTTGTCCAGGACCCTGCACGTTCTCGACGCGTAGTCACTTGACTGCAGCAGGAGAGGAATTGGAACACCAGCTGTGAGCCACTGGGGCAGGTCAGGAGTTGGCGTGAGCTGCCATCTGCATCTTGGCGTGGCTCCTTGGCGTGGCATCTTTGTTCTGCTCCTTGTTTAAACAAAATGCAGCACTGCATGCTCTGGAAAATGAGATGCTGGCGGGGAGGGGGTTACAGAGGGCAAGCGATGTGACCCTTGTCAGTGTCAAGCACCTAGTATTGTCGGTCAGAGTTCAGAACTCAGAACTCTACCTTAGAATTTATCAGGCTGGGAGACACTGGGGTCCCGTGAGTTATGCCACTAAGGTCATGTAATGGCAGTCCCCTCCAATTCATGCAGGAAAGAATTAAGATTACTTTTTCTTCCAAAAGACCTTAAACCTTTGCTTTCTGAGTGCATGCTCAGAAAAGACCTGAGAAAGCCTTTAAGCTTGCACGTGTGGCTGCCCTGAGGTTCTGTGTAAGCAAGAAGTGAGGGCCAAGGCAGGGTTGAAGGCATGCCCCAGGACACACAGCCCATCTACAGACTGGGAGAGTTGTTCTCTCTCTCTCTCTCTTTTTTTTTTTTTTGTTTGGTTTCAGGGTTTTACGGAAGTGTGTGATGACTCACTAGCTGACTGTCCAGAGATTTCAGTCACCACAAACAACAAAGAACACAGACTTTACAAAATCCGTTTTGAAAAGCCACTATGCAGACAAACCCTGTGGGGGGAGGAGAATCTGATTTCCAGACTTTCACATTATAATATTTAAAATACCAGTTTTCAACAACAAGAAAAAAATTCCGAGGCATGTAGAGAAACAAGAAGGTTGGGCCCATACACGGCGTCTTCCTTGAGGAAGCCCAGACTTTAGACCTACTAGACAGAGACTTTAAGTCAACTCTTTCAAACACGCTCAAGAGCCAAAGGAAATCATGGGGATTATGTCTCACCAAATGGAGAACATCAATAAGGAGAGAGAAATAATAAAAATGAACCAGACAGAGAGGATTTGAGGAAGATGGTGGAGTAGGAAGCACCAGGAATCTGTCTCTCCACCTAGACAGTTGCAGTGGCAAATACATCTGATGATTTTGGAATTCTGGAGTCTATTGAAGGTTTGCAGTTTCCAGGGGAAGTGTTGGACAGTAGATTATAGCTAATTTTGGTCAAAACCAGCTCTTAGTACAGTTGGAGATACCCGGCCCCCACTCCCACCCCTGTGGCAGGCAGCTCTGCACATGCTCCTGGAGTAGTCTGCACCAACTTGTGGGAGCCAGGATAGGCAAAAAGGCCCCGTCCTCCAGATAGCAGGAATCTGTGCTCTGATAGCTGATATCGGCTTCTGATCACAGAAGTGCAAAGAGGCTGGTAGCCGTTGTTACCTCACCTCCCCCATTGTTGCAAGCTCCTCCTCCTCCAGTTGAAGAAGGAATAGTGCCTAACTCATGCTGAGGCCAGCATTACCCTACTACAAAAAACAAAGACATCATAAGAAAGATGAAGCAAAGTCCAATATCTCAAGAACATAGGTGCAGAGGTCCTCAACAAAATATTAGCAGAACAATTCCAACAGTGTATAAAAAGAATTATGCATAACCAAGTGGGTTTATCCCAGATATGCAAGGCTGTCTCAACATTTGAAAATCAACTCGTGTAATCCATCACATCAACAGACTAAAAAAAGAAAAATTACATGATTATATCAATTGATGGAGAAAAATCATCTGACAAAATCCAACATCCATTCATGATAAAAACTGAGTGACATAGGAGTAGAGAGGGCATCTCCTCATCTTGTTAAAGAATATCTTCAAACAAACTACAGTGAACATCATACTTAGTGGTGAGAAACGAGAAGCTTTCCCACTAAGATCAGAAATAAGGCAAGGATGTCTCCTCTCATCACTCTTTTTCAACATTGTACTGGAAAGCCAAGCTAGTGCAATAAGAGAAAGATTTAAAAGGTACACAATTGGGAAGGAAGAAATAAAACTGCTTTGTTCTCAGATAATAAGATCATCAATGTAGAAAATCTGAAAGAGCAACAATGCCTCCACCCTAACTCGGAACTAATAAGTGATTATAGTTAGATTGCAGGATACAAAGTCAATTGGTTTTCTATATACCAGCAACGAACAAGTGGAATTTGAAAATAAAGGTACAATGCCATATACATTAGCACCACAAATATGACATACTTAGGTATAAATCTAACAAAACATGTATAAGATCTATATAAGGAAAACTGCAAAACTGATGAAAAATCAAAGAACTAAATGAGAGATAGTCCATGTTCATGGAGAGGAAGACTAATTGTCAAGATGTTCTTTCGAACTTGATCTAAAGATTGAGTGCGATCCCAGGGACTTCCCTGGTGGCGCGGTGGTTAAGAATCCAACTGCCAGTACAGGGGACACGGGTTCAAGCCCTGGTCTAGGAAGATCCCACATGCCGCAGAGCAACTAAGCCCATGCGCCACACTTACTGAGCCTGTGCTCTAGAGCCCACGAGCTACAACTACTGAAGCCCGTGCACCTAGAGCCCATGCTCTGCAACAGAGAGAAGCCACCGCAATGAGAAGCCCACGCACTGCAACGAAGAGTAGCCCCTGCTCACCACAACTAGAGAAAGCCTGTGCGCAGCAACAAAGACCCAGTGCAGCCAAAAGTAAATAAATAAAAAGATTCAATGGAATCCCAATCAAAATCCCACCAAGTTATTTTGTGGATTTTGACAAACTGATCCTAAAATTTACATGGAGAGATAAAAGACTCAGGATCACCAATACAGTATTGAAGGAGAAGAGCAAGGTTGGAGTATTCACACTACCCCACTTCAAGACAACTCTGAAACTAAAGACGTATAGACCGATTGAACAGAGCACCCAGAAATAGACCCACCTATATGTAGTCAACCAGTCTTTGACAAAGGAGCAAAGGCAACATAGTGGACCAAAAATAATCTTTTCAACAAGTAGTACTTGAATAGCTGGATATTCACATGGAAAAAAAAAATGAATGTAGACTTAAGTGTAAAAGTCAAAAACATAAAACTCCTAGAAGAAAACCTAGATGACCTTGGTATGGCAGTGACTTTTTAGATATGACACCAAAGGGATGGTCCATGAAAGAAATAATTGATAAACTGGAATTAACTAAAATTAAAAACTTTTGCTCTGTGAAATGCACTGTTAAGAGAGTGAAAGACAAGCCACAGACAGAAAAATCTTTGGAAAACAACTGATAAAGACTGGTAAAAAGAACAGTTAAATCTCAATAATAAGAAAACAATAACCCAATTAAAAATTGGGCTGAAGACCTTACAGACACCACCAAAGAAAATATACAGATGGCAAATAAGCATATGAAAAGATGCTCTCTATCATATGTCTTCAAGGAACTAAAAATTAAAACAATGAGATACACTACACTTATTAGAATGACCAAAATCTGGAACACTGACAACAAATGCTGACAAGGCTGTGGGGCAACAGGAACTCCGTCATTGCTAGTGGGAATGCAAAATAACCACTTTGGCAGAAAACTAAACACACTTTCACCATGTTATCCAGCAATCATGCTCCTTGGTGTTTACCCAAAGTAGTCAAAAACATGTCCACATAAAAACCTGCACATGGAACTTTATAGCAGTTTTATTCATAATTGTCAAAACTTGGACGCAATCAAAATGTCCTTCAGTAAGTGAGTGGATAAATAAACTGTGGTACTTCCAGACAGTGGAATATTATTCAAGTAGCAAAAAGAAATGAGTTATCCATGAAACGATGTGGAGGAAACTAAAATGAGTCTTACTAGATAATCTGAAAAAGCTATAATACTATATGACGCCAACTATATGACTATGGAGACTAAAAGATCAGTGGTTGCCAAGGGGTTGGTGGGGGGATGGAGGGAGGACTAGAGAGAGCACAGAAGATTTTTGTGGCAGTGAAAAATACTCTGTATGATACTATAATGCTGGATATATGTCATTATACATATGTCTAAACCCACAGAACGTACACCACCAAGAGTAAACCCTGATGTAAACTGTGGACTTCGGGTGGTGGTGATGTGTCCATGTATGTTCACCAGTTGTGACAAATGTACCACTCTGGTGGGGTTGCTGATAATGGAGAAATTGTGCATGTTGGGGGCTGGGGCCATGTGGGAAATCTCTGTACCTACTGCTCAGTATTGCTGTGAACTTAAAACTGCTCTAAAAAAATAAAGTCTTTAAAAAAAAAAAACCTAGACTGGTTTGACAAAAAACTGGGTACCATAGCCTAGCCAAGCTGACTAGTAAAACTAACCATCGTATTAGGATATTGATTGTAATCCCCAGGGCAACCACTAAGAAAATAAGTAAAAAATACATAGTAAAAGAAAGGAGAAGGGGACCAAAATGGTAGACTAGAAAATATCTATGCAACACCAAAAAGGGAGTAGTGGAGGAATTGAGGACTAAAAAAGATACGACATATAGAAGACAAATAGCAAACTGGCAGAAGTGTTTCCTTATCAGTAATTACATTAATGTCAATGAATAGAACTTTCCAATCAAAAGGCAGACATTGGCAGGATGGATTTTTAAAAAATGATCCAGGGGCTTCCCTGGTGGCACAGTGGTTGGGAGTCCGCCTGCCGATGCAGGGGACACGGGTTCGTGCCCTGGTCCGGGAAGATCCCACATGCCGCGGAGCGGCTAGGCCCGTGAGCCATGGCCGCTGAGCCTGCGCGTCCGGAGCCTGTGCTCCACAACGGGAGAGGCCACAACAGTGAGAGGCCTGCGTA